AAATTCTACGTAATTAATACCTCATAATTATTGCATAAGATTAAATCATTTAATTGAAACTGTATGAGGGCAAACTCAAGGATCAGATTCTCTATTGCCCTTCTCTTTTCTATTTTGTGCAGAACTGGATCAAGACCCTAAGGGAGCTGATTTCAGCTCTCTGATTCTCATGCTGTCCTGATCCTAATGCAAATTAGAGTACAGTAAAACTCCAATAGTCTGGCATCCAATAGTCCGGCACACCTGATAGTCCGGCATCAAAATGGCAAGAGCCTAGTGAGTGAGCTTCGGCAAAAAATGAGTCACAAGGTAACAGCTGAACTGAGCAAAAAGGGTAAAAAAAGGCTTAAAAAAACTAAAACATTACAGTATACTGTATACAGTATGTATAATAAAAAGGGTTAAGAACACTTTATATACAGTATATAATATATACAGTATATATATAACCAGTTTATAGTACCTCCTGATAGTCCGGCATATCTGATAATCCGGCACCACCTAGGTCCCATAGGTTCCGGATTATCGGAAGTCTACTGTATTTAGGGGATGGGTTGTTCTAATTTAAAATGTCTAGCTCTGCTTCCTTAAGTGACCATATGCTGGCTGAGAATTGGAGAGCTATGCTCCATCCCATCTGCACCCCTTCACACCTCCTCACTTCCCCACCCCAGTCTCCCATGCATGCGCGTGCGCGCACACACACTCACTCGCTCTCTCTCTCTCTCTCTGCCTGGGAGGATTCAGAGAGAAGCTGGCTCCAGTGACTTTACGCCAACCAAGTATTCCTATCAACTGGCCAGCTGCAGCCACATAAAATCCCCTCCGCACTGATCAGGAATAGAACTGGGACTGAGAATCTGGCCCAAGGTCTTGAAGAGACTATACAAAACCTGCCAAAGGAACCTGAGACCTATCTGGAGAAAATAAACTGTATAGCAATGTGTGCTCTAAAATTAGTACTTTACCTTATACATTATAACATAACAGTCCAGTTAATATATTTTGTGTGGTTGGAGTCTTTATGATCATTAACTAATTAATTCTCATAACACACTTGGAAGGTAGGTAAGTATTATCCTTATTTTACAGGAAAGGGAAACTGAGGCACAATCTAGCTGAATGACTGGCCCAACGCTGTACAATAAACTAGTGGCAGAGATGGGATTAAAGATCAGGAATTCCTGATTTCCAGCTTTCAGATCAGCCTACTAAACCATGCTGCCTGTCTAAACTTGAAGTGACTCAGCAAAAATACATTTGAATCTCTATGCAGGGTTCAGTCATCTGACAATAGGGATTTCAACAGAAGAGCCCTTCATTCCTATGCAGAATCTCAGAATATGCCGGCTTCTTACAAATACATTACTTAGATTGTAAACTCTTCAAGACAGAGATCATTGCTTTGCTATATGCTTGTAAAGTGCCTGAGGTCTTGTACACAGTGGAACTGAGGCCTCTAGTCAATAACAAAGGACATTTAATAAATACTAATTGTACTACAAGGGAGCACAGATTATCACAGTACAAGATATTAACTCTATCATGGGATTGCAGAGAGGACCCCATAGCAATACATTATGCCACCAGTATACCCAAGGAATCACATTAAAATATGATATGCCTTGAAAGCACCGATGGAATTACATTGCTATTCACCATGCCACAAGTGTGCAGAGAGAATTGCACTATAACCCATCATACAAGGACGATGCTAAAGGGATTGCATTCCAGTACCTCACATGATCTTAGGATGATTACTCTGATATATCACGCGGACTTTGCTAAGTCTCTTTATGGTATACTGTAATGTGCCATTAGGGAGGGCTGGGCATCTGATTGCAGAATGAGCTTACTAAAGGCTCCCCTTTAAATTACACAACAATGTGAAATTACTAAAGAGAGTACAATAGCATTCAAATATGAGAAATGAACTTCATTACATTACAGTGAAAGATTGAAAAGGGGGCCTTCTACAAGCCTATTCTGATACATTAGCACTGACAAGAAGACTCCCTTGCAGTATTGTACTTTTACATACCCAGTTATCATAGTCTGTTTTTGCTGAGTCATTAAAGCTTATTAAGAGGACTTTCCAAGGCAGTACTGCAATGCAAAAGGCTATCTGTGAAATGTAATGGACATGTGTGACAGGTATTGCAAACTCAGGCAGGATCTTTGGGGGAATATAAGAATAACTTTGGGGAGGTTATCTATATCTTTGTGATCCTATTGTATCATCCTTGTAAAAAGTTATCTATTTTCATAAACCAGGAACTAAAATCAGTCAGAACTGACACTCCTGGAATGGGTAAGCAACTCCAGAGAAATAGCGCCCCTACACAGAATTGGAGAAACTGGTTCAGCCTGGGTCCTAGAGGCCTAATGAGACAAAGAAAGGGCTTTTGGCATAAAAGGCTGGGTTTAAACTGACTAAGAGATCTTCATTGTAATCCAAGCCATGAACATGGACTTTTGACCTGTGTTGTGGTGGAGGGCAAACCCTGCTAATAGATTGAAATGACTGGAAACTACCAGAGTCTCCAAAAGTCTAAGGCTACGTCTACACTGGCCACAATTTCCGGAAAAGGGATGCAAATCAGGTAAGTCAGGATAGGGAAATCTGCGGGGGATTTAAATATCCCCCGCGGATTTAAATAAACATGTCCGCCGCTTTTTTTCCGGCTTGGGGAAAAGCCGGAAAAAAAGCGTCTAGACTGGCGCGATCCTCCGGAATAAAGCCCTTTTCCGGAGAATCTCTTATTCCTACCTGTCCGGTATTTTCTAATTAGGTAAGTTTTATTATTATGAGTATCAATATGTATTATTATTTTATTATTATGAGTATCAATATGTATCAATATGTAGTTGCGTACTGCCTGGTTGGTAGACGTGCTCACACTGCATGAGTCATGCTGCGTGAGCGTGTCCACCAGCCAGGCAGTATGCAACTACGCAGTAGAGGGGAAAGGAGGGGAGGGGAGGGGAGGGTGGGATGGAATCCCCGGGGCCGGACTCGCTTGTGCTCCTCTGGGGCTGTGCACA